TCAGTCAGTTGAGCATCTGCCTCTTGATTGTGGCTAATATCATGATCTCAGGGTCATGAGATCAAGCCCCATATAGGCTCCACACTAGGCATGGAGCCTGCTTAAGACTTTCTCAGGGTGCTTGGATGGCACAGTCAGTTGAGCATCTCATTGACTCTTGGTTTCAGCTCAGGTCATGATCTCAGGTCATGAGATCGAACCCAGCGTCAGGCTCCACACTCCACTCAGAGTCTGCTTAAGATTCTCACTGCCTCGCCCTCTGCCTCTCCACCCCCCCCAAGCACACTCTAAAATAAATCTTTAAAAAAATTCACTCTTTCCCTCTCCCCCTCCCCGTGTGTGCATTCTCTCCCTAACCAAAAGGAAAAAAAAAAGGAATCAATCCAAGACATAACAATTGTAAATATGCACCCAACATAGGAGCACCTATATATACCAAATATTAACAGACATAAAGGGAGAAGTTGACAGTAATCCAATGATAGTAAAGGACTTGACCCCACTTACATCAAAGGATGGATGATCCAGACAGAAAACGAGGAAACAATGGCTTTGAACTGCACATTAGACCAGATAGACCTAACATTCACACACACAACATTCTAGCCCCAAACAGCAGAATACACATTCTTTTCAAGTGCACATGGAACATTCTTCAGGATGGATCATGTTAAGCCATAAACCAAGTCTAAGTTTAAAATTGAAATCCTATCAAGTATCTTTTCCTACCACAACAAATTGAGACAGGAAATCAATTTCAAGAAAAAAACCTGGAAAAATACACAAACACATGGAGGCTAAACAACCTGCTACTAAACAAGTGGGTCAACCAAGAAATCAAAGAGGAAATCAAAAAATACATGGAGAAAAATGAAAACACGATGGACTGAAATCTTTGGGAAACAGCAAAAGCAGTTCTGAGTTTACAGTAATACAGGCCTACCTCAGGAAACAAAAACTTCAAAAAACCTAACCTTACACCTAAAGGAGCTAGAAAATGAACAAACAAATCCCAAAGCTAGTAGAAGGAACAAAATGATAAAGATTGGAGGAGAAATAAGAAAGTTTTAAAAAGAGAAAAGATCAGTGAAGCCAAGGGCGCCTGGCTGGCTCTTGATCTTGGGGTTGTGAGTTCAAGCCCCAGATTGGGTGTAGAGAATTTTCAAAAAATCTTAAAAAAAAAAAAATGAAGCCAAGAGTTGGTTCTTTCAAAAGATAAATGAAACTGATAAACCTTAGCCAGACTCATCAAAAAAAAAAAAAAAAAACCTCAATTGGAACTGGAATAGACGTAACCAACACCACAGAGATACAAAGGTTTAAGAGTATGAAGAATTATATGCCAACAAGCTGGACAATCTAGAAGAAATAATTCCTAGAAACAGAAAATCTTCCAAAAGTGAATTAGGAATAGAAAATTTGAACAATTATTAGTAATGAGATGGAATAAAAAAAAAAAAACCCAACAAACAAATCCAGGGCCAGATGGCTTCACCAAATTGAATTCCACCAAACATTTAAAAAGATACCTATTCTCAAACTACTCTGAAAGATAGAAGACAAAAGAAAATTCCCAAATTCATCCTACAAGGCTAGCATTACCCTGGCACCAAAACCAAAGACACTACAAAAAGAAGAAAACCAGGGGTGCCTGGGTGGTGCAACTTGTTAAGCTTCCTACTCCTGGTTTCAGTTCAGGTCCTGATGTCAGAGTCACGAGATCAAGCCCCTGCATCAGGCTCGGCACTCAGCAGGGAGTCTGCTTGGGATTCTCTCTCCCTTCTCCTCTGCCCCTCCGCCCCCAAGCAGCACACGTGCTCATGCTGTCTCAAGTAAATATTTAAAAGAAAACCAGAAGCCAGTACCTCTGATGAACATAGATGCAAAAATCCTCAATAAGATATTAGCAAACTGGGGCGCCTGGGTGGCTCAGTTGGTTAAGCATCTGCCTTCAGCTCAGGTCATGATCCTGGGGTCCTAGGATCAAGCCCTGAGTCCAGCTTCCTGCTCAGCGGGGAGCCTGCTTCTCCCTCTCCCTCGGCCTGCTGCTCTTTGTGTTTGTGCTCGCGCAAGTGCACTCTGTCAAAATCTTTTTTAAAAATATTAGCAAACTGAAATCAATAATACATTAAGATGATTCACCAAGAACAAATGAGATTTATTCTAGGGATGAAAGGGTGGTTCAATATTTGCAACTCAGTGTGAGACCTCACAATAAGAGGAAGGATAAAAACCATAGGATCAATAGATGCAAAAAAAAAGCCTTTGACAAAATACAACATCCATTCATGTTAAAAACTCTCAATACGAGTGTGTTTAGAGGGAACATCCCCCAACATTAATAAAGGCCATATATGAAAACCCCACAGCTAACATACTCAATGTTTACAAAAAAAAAAAAAGATTAACAAGGGGCACCTGGGTGGCTTGGTTGAGCATCCGACTCAATTTCAGCTTGAGTCATGGTCTAGGGGTTGTGGAATCGAGCCCTGTGTTGGGTTCCTTGCTGGGCACAGTCTGCTTTGGTATTCTCTCTCCCCTTTTCCCTCTGCCCCTACCTCTGCTTGTGCACGCACACACACACGCACACTCTAAATAAATAATAAATAAATAAATAAATAAATAAAATCTTAATAAACCAACCCATTTACAATTGCACCCAAAGCAATAATACACCTGAGGGCACCTGGGTGGCTCAGTTGGTTAAGCGACTGCCTTCGGCTCAGGTCATGATCCTGGAGTCCCGGGATCGAGTCCCACATCGGGCTCCCTGCTGAGCAGGAAGTCTGCTTCTCCCTCTGACCTTTGTCCCTCTCGTGCTATCTCTCATTCTCTCTCTCTCAAATAAACAAAATCTTTAAAAAAAAAAAAAAAGCAATAATACACCTGGGAATAAATTTGTCCAAGGAGGTGAAAGACACATAGTGAAAACTAGGACATTGATGAAAGAAATTGAAGACAACAGAGATGTAAAGACATATCATGCTCTCATGCATTGGAAGAATTATTATTGTTTAAATATCCACACTCTCCCAAACAAGCTACAGATTCAATGCAACCCTATTAAAATGCCAATAGTATTTTTCACAGAACTAGAATAATCCTAAAATTTGTATGGAACCATAAAAGACTTTGAGTAGCCAAAGTAATCTTGAGAAAGTAGAACAAAACTGGAGGTATCAAAATCCCGGATTTCAAGATATACTACAAATCTATAGTAATCAAAACGATGTGGTACTGGCACAAAAAGAGACATAAATGGAATAGGATAGAGAGCCCAGAAATGAACCCACACCTCTGTGGTCAATTGATCTACAACAAAGGAGGCAAGACTATACGATGGGGAAAAGACAGTCTCTTCAACAAATGGTGTTGGGAAAACTGGACAGCTACGTTCAAAAGAATGAAACTGAACCACTTACTTACACCATACACAAAAAAATAAAGGGATTAAAGACCTAAGTGTGAGACCAAAACCATAAAACTCCTAAAAGAAAGCATAGGCAATAATCTCACTCTTAACAACATCTATGTATGGATATGTCTCCTCAGACAAGGGAAACAAAAGCAAAAATAATTGGGACTACACCAAAATAAAAAACTTTAGCATAGCAAAAGAAGCTGTCAGCAGAACAAAAAGGCAAGCTAATGAATGGGAGAAGATACTTTTGTAAATTATATATCTGATAAGGGGCTAATATCCAAAATACATATAGAACGAACTTAACACCAAAAAACAATCCAGTTAAACAGAGGATCTGAATAGACATTTTTCCAAAGAAGACATACGGACGGCCAACAGACACATGAGAAGGTGCTCAACATCAGTAATCACCAGGGAAAGGCAAATCAAAATCACGAGATCGCACCTCACACCTGTCGGAATGGCTCCTATCAAAAAGACAAGAAATAACAAGTATTGGCGAAGATGTGGAGTAAAGGGAATCCTTGTGCACTATTAGTAGGAATGTAAATTGGTGCAGCCGCTGTGGAAAACAGTATGGAGGTTCCTCAAAAAATTAAAAATAGAAATACCATATGATCCAGTAATTCCACTACTGTGTATTTACCCAACGAAAACAAAAATATTCAAAAAGGTATATGCACCTCTGTGTTTACTGCAGCATTATTTACAGTAGCCAAGATACGGAAGCAACGCAGTGTCCATTGGTAGATGAGTGGTAAAGAAATTATGAATGATGTATGTATGTGAAATAAAAGGTGTAAGAAGATTTAAAGAAATAGGGGCACCAGGATGGCTCAGTCGATTAAGCGTCCGACTCTTGATTTCTGCTCAGGCCATGATCTCAGGGTTGTGAGATGGGAGTTCCACGTTGGGCTCTGTGCTCAGTGGGGAGTCTGGTTGGGATTCTCTTCTCTCCCTCTGCCCCTTCCCCCACTCATGCGCTTGCTCACGCTCTTTAAATAAAAATCTTTAAAAAATAATTAAAAAGGCAAAATCTGTTTCCTTAAAAATTTGGCAAGTATGACTTTTTAGAGGGCAAAAGTAACATCAGAAAGGGCTATTAGAGATACGGAGGGCTTTTCATTATATAAATATTACAGTCTTTATGGAAATCCCAAATTGTCCCCAAAAGTAAAGAATCCAAATAAAACCAATAACCATAAAAGTTGAAATAGTATTCAAAGATTTTGTGCCCCCAAAATGGACACTAAGTCCAGCTGTTTCGTGGAGAGTCTTAGCAAATCTTCAAGAAACAGAATTCCTGTTACAGAAAGCATACCAGTGCGTAGAACGTGACGGCAAGCCTTTCGACTGTTGTCACTGTATGAAGTCAGCATGGGCCCTGACCGCAGACTGCACTAGGCCAGCACTGGAACAAAACTGTGGTCAGCATTGCTTATATGGATGTAAGTCAAATATAGCCATTCACCCTCAAAATACAAGATACTTCAATACTGAACAAAAAAACTATCAACATAACTCACTACTTGAGATCATCTGCAGTAGAGGAGGAAAGCTACGTAATATAATGGCCATGTAATGTCACTATGTGCCCCGAAGCCGTCAGTAAAATGTAGTACCCATTTATGATGTAAATCTAAGTACAGTTATGAATAGAATTTTCCTGACATGATAAAGGTTAAGTAATTCTACTTAGTAATGAACTATGAGAGGCATTCCCATCAAGGTCAGCAATAAGAGGGGTGCTTACGATTCTCCACTAACTTTTAGCATTGTACTGAAGATCCTTATTAATACAGTAAGGTTGGAAAGAACCACCCAGATCTTCTATAGATGAATTGATAAATATGTGTATCTATATGAGGACATACTAGTAGCAGGTAAACAAAATGATAGAGCCCAAAAACATTTTTAAAGAAAAAAATTGCAAAATATGTTCAATAAGTAGTATAAATTTACATAATGACACAAAAGGTAACAGTATTTCTCTGTGCATTCCATATGTACAAAAGAGGAGAAAGATGCCCTTTCAACTTCCCGCAGAGGTTATCTCTGAAGATTGGGTTGGGTGATGAAAGAGAGCTTTGACAATTCCATTGAGCTATTAATTTGTCAAAAAGAAGTGTGTTAGTTGTGTAGTTTAAATTCATAAGGTGTCCGTGCTAAGAGCTGTGTAGCTATAAAGAGGATTGTGGGGGTTGTCATTCTTAATAATGAGAGCTGCCGATAGCTGGAGAAAAATGCAGACCTCAGCGTGGAGGTAGGAGGTTCTCTGCTGTGCAGAGAGGGAGGGCAGGGACAGACTAAGACGGAGGGGCTCAGATGCCAGCCACAGGGCCCCAGGCTTTCCTCGACACCGCCCCCCCCCCGCCCGCCCCATGCGACCTTTCAGCCTCACTGTCCCATCTTTTGGCAGGAGCAGATCAGGCCTCGATAACTGCCCGGAATCACATTCAGTTGGTGAAGTCGCAGGTACAGGAAGTGCGTCAGCTGTCCCAGAAAGCAGAGACCAAGTTGGCAGAAGCACAGACGGAGGAGCTCCGTCAGAAAACACAGGAGGAAGGGGATGAGAGGGCCGAGCCGGAGCAGGAGGCCTACCTGCGTGAGGATTGAGTGCCCGGCTGCTGCCCACGTCTGCGGGCTCAGCCTGGGGAAGGCGGGGCCGGCCCAGCCTTCCCTGCACGGAGAGGACACAGCAGGTCCTGCCCTGGCCCATCAGGCCGGAGGCCGTAGTGAGCTGGGAGCGCCTGCCCCCCCCCCCCCCCCGTGGACCTGGTTCTTAGCCCTGGGGCAGTGCACCCTGTTTAACATTTGACCCCAGTCTGCACAGCTTCCCATGCACCCATCCTTTTACCTCTCACCCAGGGCATCTCGGCAGCCTGGCCAGAGAGAGGGGTCCTTTTTTGTCATGCCCAGACAAGTTCAGTAGCTGTTTAACTTCCGTTTCCAGTCTTACATTTTCAAATATGATTTAGTCTTTGCTCCCCCCATAGGAGTGTGCATTTTTGGGGGGGGGGAAGGGGAGCCTGTTCATAAGATTTCTAAGTGTTTCTAATGCCTTCTGTGATCTAGCCCCATTGCCTGTAAGGACAGCTGAAGCCCAGGAGCCAAAAGTCCATTATCCTTAAGGAACTGAAAGTAGAGCGTTTACCTGGTGCTCAACAGGACACGTTCCAACACATGCTTCTTGTTTCCTTCTTTCCTTCGAGTTTCTCTATTGTATCTGAAGCAGAATAATTTTTTTTTTTGTTTTGCACTTCAAAAAGAACATGTTTGTGTGTATATTCTGGGGCCCTGTGCAGCCTCTTTCCTTCACCTCCCAGACTGGCAGAGCCCCGAGGGGCTCCAGGAACCACCCCGCCCCCCTGCCCCAGCACCCGAGTTCTAGCAGCATTCGCTAAGCCAAATTTGGCTCCCATTCAACACATGCTGGGACAGGTGAAGCCAGGTTTCAGTGTTTTTAATCAGAGTTAGGAAGGTTGGGGTGGGGGTTACAAAAATGAAGTCAGCATTTCCTATAGACCATCAGGGTCAAGTGTCAAGGTTCTCAATTTGTCATCATGACAGGAAAATCAACACTGGGTCTACTCACTCAACCCACCCCTCGGAGTCGAGGCAAGGGGGCTGCTGCACATTTGAGCCCCTCATCTGTCACCAGCGCCCACATGGTCCACATCTCCAGGGGGCTGAGGCGGTGCACCAGTAGGAGCCCCCGGTACAGGCAGGGGTCTAGGGGGTCCAGGGGCCGCCGTATTCCAAATGTCTTAAAGCCAGCATGGTGCATGGGGCTCACCCCCAGCTTCCTCAGGCACATGCCCACAAAGACATCATCGATGGGGAAGAGTTCAGCCTCTTCCACGGCTGCTTGGAGGCGCTGCATGGTGGCTCTGGACATGACATATCCCCCACCCCCAGCGTAGGGTGGGTAGTGGCGGGCCCTGTACATGGACGGGGGGATGAAGTATTTGACCTTGGTGTTCCTGTTGGGCAGGGCCTGGCGGATCACATCTCCCACCAGGAGGTCCTGGGCTGGATCCCAGCCCTCCAGGAACTCCAGCACGTTGGGAACATGGACGAAGACATCGTCATCTCCCTTTAGCACGAAGTGGGCCTGGGGACAGGCAACTGCCACCCAGCGCTGCAAGTGCAGCTCCTTGAGGGTCAGGTTGAAGAAGTCCTCCACAAAGTCCCATTGCAGGATATCATCAAACTCGCGACTCTCGTAGGCCAGCAGCTGCGCGGGGGGGCGCCGGTTCCGCCACCCCCAGGAGGAACACCAGCTTCAGCTGCCGGCCCCTGGCCCAGCCCCCGCCCCGGCCCCACGTGCTGCGGATAGCCGCGCGCCGCTCCACGTGGCCAGGCTGCGACTTGATGGCCAGGAGCAGGAAGGTGTCCGCGGCACAGCCTGAGGGCTCCAGCAAGATGGAGAAGTTGCGGCAGTGGCGGTAGGTCAGGAAGAGGCGGTGACGGCCAGGCAAGGACAGGGAGACGTTAGCCACCGTGCGGTTGGGGGCACACTGGCTGCGGCGGGGCCCCGGGGGAGCCCAGAAGGGCTGGCGGGCCGCGGAGCCCCCCGCCGGCGTGGCCTCCTTCTTCAGGAAGAGCAGGCCGCTGAGCAGCAACACAGCCAGGCTGGACGGGACCAGGCAGCCCAGCCTGCGGGACATGGCAGGGCCTGCAGGGAGAGCGCCGCGTGAGCAGGCCGCCGCGCGGCCCCCGCCACCCAGCGCGAAGTTCCTGCTGGCCTGCCCTTTATTTACTCTTCTCAGCGCGTCCTCTGGCTCTTTCCAGAGTCCCTGTCCCCGGGACAGGCCAAGCACACCTACGCCAGCCCTTGCCTTCTGCGGTCTTCAGAGGGCTCTCGTGAGCTTTCTTCCCCAAAGGACTTGCAGCTGCTTTGAACCCCAGGCACCATGGGGCGCCTGGCTGGCTCAGGCAGAAGAGCATGGGACTCTTGCTCTCCGGTCGTGAGTTCGGGCCCCACACTGGGTGTCGAGATGACTTAAATTAACTTAATAAAAATAAAAAAACCAAAAACCTGAGGCACCATAAGCACTCTCAGCATTTCCCAGGAAACTCCAGTATCTTCTGGTGAAAATGGCACAGAGCTAGTTTAGTTTCCAGTGAAATTCATTCTAAGCACAAAACCTGACATTCAGGGCCCTTGAGTCTAAAATCAAACCATTCCCCCCCCCCCAAAAAAAGTGTGCACTCTAATCTGTTGGTGGCAGGCTCTGTGTTAGGTCTCCCAGAGAGGACAGCCCCGGGCACTGCCCTATGAGAGTTTGCTCCTGAGAAAGGCAACCACAGAACACATCCTTCACATTGGCCTCAAGTTTCTTCCCGCAGCTTCTTGGAAGGTTTCTTGGAGTCACTTAAAAGGGGGTTTTAAGAACAAACCCCTTGCATGGAAGAGCAGGAAAGCCGGAGACCTGTGCCGGGCTGCCTGCCCTGCGGCCGCGGTGGCCCATCCCTACCCCCCACGCGGCTCTGGTTCTCTCTCAGCAAGCACCCCGGCAGGACCGAGAGAAGGCCCAGAAATGGAGGCCGGGAGACGGACCTGCCCAAGATCAAGGGCAGCAAAGCCAGGCCTCGAGCCCCTCCCCTTCACCTCAGCTGCCATGCGGTCCTTGTCCAACAGGCCTTCACTTCTACCCAGTCCGCCCGCAGTCGCCCCATCCCGGTCCCACACCGCTTCCGGCCGCCGGGGATGCCGAGGCCGCCACGACAGGCAGGGCCGCGGAGGACAGAGACCAAACAAAACCAATCCCGACTTGAGACGGTGCTGAGAAGAAACGGAAGCAGCGTAAGGGAACGCAGTGACTGGGGAAGAGGATTCCAGCCTGTGCTAGTCCAGAAGGCGCTCCTTGATAAAGGACATCTGAGCAAGGGCTGAACGTAGGGACCAAACCGCAAAGACCGGGGGGCGGGGGGGTTGTGCCAGGCAGCGTCACGGAGCTCCCGGAGTCGGAGCAGGTGCGACGGCTCTGCGGCCAGGAGCGTGCTGCGGCCGGAGGATGAGGGGCAGGGGGAACGGGGACAAAGGGAAGGGGAGCTCGGGCCTGAGAAGGCAGACACAGAAGGCCCCGGTGAGGGGCGCGCGGCAGCTTGGGTTTGCTGCAACCTCGGGACAGACCCACTGGAGGACTCAGCGGAGGCGGTGACAGAAATTACACTGCTTGAGAGGTTCCTCCTGCGGCGGCTTAGGTGATGGATCACGGAAGGGAAAGCGAAGCAGGAGACCAGCTAGGAAACGGCTGCATTAGTCAAGCCCACGCCGCAGCTGGGACGGGCGCCGGGGCTGCGGCGCGGGCGAGCGGGAGGGCTTCCAGCTGCGGGCGGGGAGCCTGGGCCCGCTGCGCACCACCCCCACGTCTGACCCAGGCCAGTTCCCCCCCCACCCCCCGGAAAGACTGCGGAGCCAGGCTCCCCACCGCTCACACTGCTGTGAATCCGAATTCAGTACCGCCCCGTGTAGGTCTCCATACGGTGAGCCCCCAGGAGCCCGGTTCTTAACCCCGCGTGGGCTTCAGCGAGGGCACGACCCCCCCCCCCGCAAGTGTGCTGCCGAGTCCCAAGGGTCTGCAATTGTTTCTGGCGGGGACAGCCGTCTCGGGTCCTGGGGGCTCGGCGACCCAACACGCTCCGATAAGGGAAAGTGCCAAGGGCTAGTTCATTCCTCGCGACAGCCTCTAACTGGCTGTTGTGGGGGCCGAAGGCCGGCGTGGTCGTCGGAGCAAAGAGCAGGGGCCCCGCGGCGGACACCCCTCCCGGTCCACGAGGCCCGGTTCCGGCCGTTCGGGCCCCGGCGGGCGAGCAGAAGCAGAGGGGCAGCAGGAGGCCGCCTGGCCCCGACGGCCCACTGGGGGAGACGACCCCGCCGCCAGGCCAGCGTCCTCGCGAATGCGCGGACCCCCCGGCCCAGTGAGACGCGCCTGACCCCGCAGCGGTGGCCCCAGGCTTCCCCGGGCCCGCTCAACCCGCCCCCTGCGGACCTACCTGAGTCGGGACGCGGGGCCAGCGACAGGCGAGGAGCTCGCGCAGCCGAGCCGGGACCCGGGGCTCTAGCCTCGCACCGCCCGCTCGGCCGGGGCGGGGCTCCGGGGCGCCGCGGGACCCCTCCCACACGGGGCTTCGCGCACCGGCCGCCCCGCGCCCCCTGCCGGTTCCCCGCTCCCCGACGCGGCGGCCGCACGGACGCGGAGCCGCGGTCGTCGGAAGAGCCTTTAATCCGGCGCCCTACAGGGCGATCTCCCGGAGCGCCTCCTCGGCCGAGCGGTACTGGTTCAGCTGGATCTGCACCTCCACCGTCAGCGGCTGGGGCTGGTAGTCGCTGTCGTACGTTGGAGCCGCAGATTTTTTTTCTGAGAAATAAAAACACGAGTATGTGAGTCCCGAGAGATGCGCGGGCTGCTTCTCGGCTGCCCTGGACGGGCTCCAGGGGGAGCGCGCTTTGGGAGTCCGAGATTCCACCCTCGGGTCTTAACCGTCGGGAGGAACACAGTTAAATCGCATCTAATCACATCCCTGAACAAGGCGCAGCTGTGTTGAGCTGCAAGCTGAACCGGCTGCTTGTGTCTTGGAGCACCGTCTTCACCTGAAAGGACACTGACAAACCGCGGTTATTCAGATGTGAATGTTTGGCGGGTTATTTTCTAAAAAGCGAATGAAGTCTGGCATTTCAGGGAAAACAACGGAAAGCATTTTGATAAATTTATAACATCTGAGCTTTCAAGTAGAAATTAGAATTTTGAAACACTGTATCTGCCACCATGAACCTAACAGTTTCCCGATACTCAAAGGCTCTTCTGAATGCGATTTTTGGAATGTATAATGAAATGTGTCAACAGTTGGAAGATCTGCATAAGTCAGCGAACCAGTATTTTACAAATAACCAAATGCCTGATGTTACAAATTGTGCATGAGTAAGATAGCCCTTCAAAACGCAATGTAAAAAAAAAAAAAGGCAATGTAGACCAATGGATTTTAACATAACTGACTACGAAAAAATGCATTCACATAGATTTTCACTCTGTAACAGCCTTTAAAAAACTACTATTGTCAAATTTGACATAATATCAAAGAAAAATACCCGGTTATTTGAAAACCTATTTTAACATATTCCCTTTTCCAGTTACATGTCCATATGAGATTGGATTTTCTTCATACACTTCAAACACTGCAACACAAGAGATTAACAGCAGAGGCAGCTATTCCAATGCAACTGTCAATTAAGCCAGACAATAAAAAGATTTGCAAAAGTGTAAAAAAAAATTTGAGACCATCCTAACCCTGTGGCTTGATCATAAATCAGATGTCCGTATTTGAATGGGTGCTGAAGTCCAGCAGTGTATGTCCTTTGTTCTTTTTCAAAGCTCTTTTGGCTCTTCCAGGTCCCTTAAATTTCCATATTAAGTTCGGAATCAACTTACTGATTTCTACGAGAAAAAAAAATTCCCCTAGAATTATGATTGAGATTAGGTTGAATTATAGATCAATTTGAGGAAAACCAACATCTTAACAATACTGAATTCCCTATCCATGTACATATTTATCCCACCATTTATTTAAGTCGTTGATTTCTCTTGGCGACGTTTTGTAGTTTTCAGAATACAAGACTTCCACAACCTTAGTCAGATTTATCCCTATTTCATATTTTTCAATGCCATTGTAAAAATTCACTATCTGATTGTTCATTGCTAGTATATGGAAATACATTTAATTTCTTGAATACTGATCCTGTATCCTACAGCCCTGTGAAATTTACTTTTAGAAGCTTTTCTTTTCTTTAAAAATTTATTTATTTGCGAGAGAGCAAGAGAGAGCATGAGTGGGGTGGAGGGGCAGAGGGAAAGGGAGAGGGAGAAGCAGACTCCCTACTGAGCAGGGAGCCCAATATGGGGCTCGATCCCAGGACCCCAGATCATGACCTGAGCTGAAGGCAGATGCTTAAATAACTGAGCCACTCAGGCAACCCAGAAACTTTTCTAATATAGGCATTTAGTGCTATAAATTTCTCTATGAATACTGGCTTACTTAAGTTTTACTATTTTTGACATTTTATATTTTTATTTTCATTCAGTTCAAAATACTTTCTAATTTCCCTTTTGATTTCTTCTTGGTCCATGGGATATTTAGATGTGTGTTATTTAGTTTCTAAAAATTGGGAGATTTTACAAATATCTTTGTTACTGATTTCTAATTTAATTCCACTATGGTCATAGAGGATAGGGTACTTTGTATGTCTTGAATTGTTTTAAACTTAGATTTTATTTATGGCCCAGATTATGGAATATCTTGGTTCTGTGTGCACTTAAAGAATGTGTATTTTCATGTTATTGGGTGAGGTATTCTATACATGTCAGTTACCTCAAATTGATTGGCAATGTGATTCAAGTCTCCTACATCCTTACTGATTTTCTGTCTATGTGTCCTATCAATTACTTAGGGAGGTGTATTGAAATCTCTGAATATAATTTTGGATTTGCCTATTTCTCCTTGTAGTTCTATCAGGTTTTTTTTCCCCATGTATTTTGAAGCTCGATTATTAGGTGCATACATGCTTAGGATTGTTAAATCCTCTTGACTCCTTTATTATTATGAAATGACCCTCTTTATTCCTGGTAATATTCTTTCTCTGAAGTCTATTTTGTCTGATATTAATAGTTGCTCCTTTTTTTAATTAGTGTAAGCATGAATATATTTCTCCATTTCTTAATATTTTTGTATCTTTATGTCTAAAATGGATTTCTGGTAGGCAGCATGTGGTTGGGTCTTACTTTTTTATCCAATCCGAACATCTCTGTCTTTTAATTGGGTGTTTAGACCATTTACATTTAATGTGATTATTGATATGATTGGGTTTAAGTCTACCATCTTGTTATTTGTTTTCTATTTATCTCACATGTTCTGTTTCTTTTTGTTTCCACCTCCTTTTAGATTAACTGAATATCTTTAGGATCCCTCTTTTCTCTCCTTTGTTGGCTTATTAGCTAGAACTTTTTGTTGTATCATTTTAGTGGTTACTTTAGAGTTTATAATAAATATCTTTAACTTACTGCAGTCTGGCTTCAAGTGATATTATACCACTTCACATAGAAATAGGAACCTTACAGTGATACGCTTCCATTTCTTTCCTACTCCCAACCCTAGCCTTTTTGCTATTGTTATACATTCTACTGGTGTTATAAGCACTGCAATATATTTTTTCATTAAACACTTAACAATCATTTAAACATACTTAAATAATAAGAGTCTTTATATTTAACCACAGTTACCATTTCCAGTGTTCTTGATTTCTTTGTGCAGATCCAGATCCATCTAGTATTTTCTTCTGCTTAGAGGACTTCTTTGAACATTTCTTGTAATACAAGTATGCTGGTGATACATTCTTTCAGCATGTGTATGTCTAGAAAAGTGTTCAGTTCACTTTTGTTTTTGGAAGATATTTTTGTTAGGTAAAGAATTTTAAGTTGATAGTTATTTTTCTTTGAGGGTTTAAGAAGTCTTTCACTGTCTTCTATTTGGCATTTTCCTGATGATAAGACTGCTGTCATCTTTATCTTCATTCCTCTGTCTTTATCACTGATTTTAAGCCGTTTTGTCATTATCTAGCTTGGTTTAGTTTTCTTCATGCTTCTTGTGTTCTGAGTTCACTGACCTTTTTGGATTGGTTTATTTATAATTTTCATCTAACTTGGAAATGTTTCAGCAATTACTTCTTCAGATATTCTCTCTGCCTACCTCCACTGTCCTTTGGGGACTCCAACTATATGGACATCAGTTCCTTTGAATTTGTCTCAAAATTCACCAATGCTCTGTTCATTTTTTCCAGCCATTTTTCTGACTTTAATTGTGGATAGTCTCTACTGCTTCCAGTTTACTAATCTTTTTTTCTAAATTGTCTAATATGCCATTAATCCCAGTAAATGTATTTTTAGTGTGACATGGTCGTTTTCATCCCTAAAAGTTTGGCTTATAGTCCATATTGCTACATACCACCATCTTTCCTTTAGCTTCTTAGATATATGGAATATAATTATAATAACTGCTTTAATGTCCTTGTCTACTAATTCTAACATGTATGTCATTTCTGAGTCAGTTATGATTGATAAATTCTCATTATATATTAAATTTTCTGCTTTTTTTTGCATGTCTGATTTTTTTTTTATTGGATGGCATATGTGAATTTACTTTGGGTGCTATTTTTTTTAAAGATTTTATTTATTTATTTGAGAGAGAGAGAATGAGAGATAGAGAGCATGAGAGGGAAGAGGGTCAGAGGGAGAAGCAGACTCCCCGCTGAGCAGGGAGCCCGACGTGGGACTCGATCCCAGGACTCCAGGATCATGACCTGAGCCGAAGGCAGTCACTTAACCAACTGAGCCACCAGGTGCCCCAGGTGCTATTTTTTTAAAAAAGATTTTATTTGTTTTGGAGAGAAAGAGTGTGTGCGAGTGGGGGGAGGGGCAGAGGGAAAGGGAGAGGAGACTCTCAAGCAGACTTCATGCTAAGCACAGAGCCCAACGTGGGGCTTGATCTCATGACCCCGAGATCATGACCTGAGCTGAAATCAAGAGTCTGATGCTTAACAGACTGAGCCACCCAGGTGCCCCACCTTGCGTGCTATTTTTGTATTCCTTACGATATCTTTGAATTTTGCTTTAGGACATGGTTAAATGTGATCCTTCCAGGTCTTGTCCCTTCCTGCTCAAAATTTGTAGAGTACCCCAGGGTGCTGGGCTCAGTCCTTTTCTCTGTCAACATAAGCACACATATTTTCATGGTTTTAAATACCATCTATAAGCTGATTCATTCATTCAATCAATGTTGATGGCCTACTATGAGCCTACTATGCTGGGGACTGGGGATTGTATGACTTTAAAGAATGCAGGGGCAGCCCCCCCACACACACACTTGTAGTTTCAGTGTAGTGGACAAAATAAAAATAAAACAATTACATGGATTCATATCTCTATAGTTTGCACGGTGCTGAATACTATAGATGAAAACACTGGATTCAGGACGCCTGGGTGGCTCAGTTGGTTAGGCATCTGCCTTCAGCTCAGGTCATGATACCAGGGTCCTGAGATCAAGTCCCTCATAGGGCTCCTTGCTCCGTGGGGAGCCTGCTTCTCCCTCTACCTGCTGCTTCCCCTTCTTGTGCTCTCTCTCTCTCTGACAAATAAATAAAATCCCTTAAAAACAAAACAAAACAAAAAACCAAAACCCACCGAATGCTATGAAGAAAACAAGGGAGCCCACCCTAATCCAGAGGATCAGCTTCCCTGAAGAAGGCAACTGAAGCTGAGATCTGGCAGATGGAGTAGCTGAGTAAACAGTGGCAGATAAAGTATGCCAAGCAGAACTCTCGGGGGCTTATAGAACATGGAAATCTGGATTTTGTGATGCAGCCAGTAGGAAGTCATGGAAGAAATTCCAGCAGGGGAGTGACTCAGGCGGACTTGGAAACACGATCGCCCTGGCTGCCGCGGGGGAGCCAACAGAGTGGCCATGTGGGAGGAAGGAGGTGCAGCAAGGTGGCAATGGTGGTTGTCGGGGGTGGTGGCAGAGGAGATGGAGAAGGCATCGGGAGACAAGGGGCAGGAGAGGGAAAGGCTTCTTGGATGCTCCATACACTTCAACTTCACAGGTGCAAAACCAAGCCCAGCCCCGGGTGCAGCTTTGCAGGCCCCGGGCAGAAGCCTCTCCTGCCCGCCCTGACCCCCAGTCACTGTCAGACCTGTCCCCTGCACACCACCTCTGCCGTCCACTTCCACGTCAGGCCCTTAGCATTTCTTGCCTATACGTTGTTCAAACACTATGTGGCCTTCTGTGACTGGCTTCTTTCCTCGCCATCATGTTTTCAAGGTTCCTCAGGCTATACACATGCCGGGCTTTGCTCCTTTTCATCTGCTGAGGAATCCCCGTTGTGTGGAAATGCCACATCCGGGCATTCATCCACTGATGGGCCTTGGGCCGTTTGCACTTTCCGGCTGTCGGGAACAGTGTTGCCCTGACCTGGTCTTAACACTTAGCAGCAGCCTCCCAGCCGGTCCCCTGTCGCCTCTCACTCCTTCCAAGCCAGCCAGTTCTTTCTACAGCTCAGATCTAAAGCTTACCTATTGCAGACACTTCAGTGACTGCCCCCTGTTCACAGAACAAGCCCAGACTCCTCGTTGGGCAAACAGGACCAGTGACCTGAAACAGGCACCAGACTGCTGGGCCAGAAGGACCCTGGGCCGGGCCCAACTCAGCCCCCTCTCCCACCTCACCTGCCTCCTACCCCAGGCTGCCTCTCCTGCCCTTAGCATGACCTGCAGCAGCTGCTCTTGTCTCAGGGATGCAGGAAAGAGGGAGGGTTGGGTCCGTAGGGTGGACATCGCCTTCCCGCTGCCCAGAAGATAGGATTCTCTGTCCTTCCATTTCTTTGGTCCCAAATCAGGCTGATCCTTCCCCAGGTCCTGCTACGGTCTGAATGTTTGTGTCCCTGCAAAATTTACACGTTGAAATCCTAACCCCCAGAAGTGATAGTATTAGGGGATGGGGCCTTGGGAGGTGACGAGGTCGTGAGGGTAGAGCCTCATGAATGGGATTAGTATCCTTACAAAAGAAGATCCAGAGGACGCAGCACGAAGGGGCTGGCTACGAGCCAGGAAGAGGGCCCTTACCTAACGACGCTGCCACCTTGGTCTTGGACTTCCCAGCCTCCGGAGCTGCGAGAAGTAAATGTCTGTTGTTTATAAGCCCCCCAGGCTGTGGCTTGTTATCGCAGTGGGAACAGACTAAGGTCCTCAGGAAACATTCCCCACTCTCGGTTACCATCATCAGATCTTACCCTTTTTAGCTTTCTTGTTCTTGTTCTTCTTTGCATCCTGAGAGAAAGAACCAGGACAAGAGGCTTACTGGAGTTGGGGGATACTGGGGAAGGGGTAGCTGCAGATCCCGCCGGTGGCGCAGGAAGAGGGGGCAGGGCTCCCAGGGAGGAGCGGGCCTGCCCTGCCCACTGGCCGGGCTCCTCGCACCTGAGAAGGCCGCCCATGGCGCGGGGCCCATAGAGCTGGGAGCTGGGCACCACATGGCCGAAGGAGAGGCCCTCCCCCCGCCCCGGCCCCGTGCCTCTCAGGGCCCTGCCAGCACTGGGCCTTCCCGAGGAGGTTGGGAGGCTAAGGCCCTGCGCAGCCCTTCCCTGCCCAGCACTGTTTCGGTGGGGAGGGGTGTGGCGGGGCGCCCCCCCCCCGTACCCTGAGAAAGGTCAGCCTGTCAGTTTCCAGGGTGCGGATCACCCCGAAGTTGCACTCTTCGGACACCAGTGGCTCCCCCACCAGCAGGGGCTCCAGGGCCACGAAGCCGCTGCCCAGCACCCGCAGGATGGGCGGGTCCTGGCGGAGCTCCTTGGGAAGCTCCTTCTTCTTGGACGCCTTCTGCCCCTGTGGGGCGAGGCGCGGAGAGTGGACGTGGCCCCGGCAGGGACGGGGCCCAGAGCGCGCCCGCCCCCGCGACCGCCCCGGGCACCTGGCAGCCCGGCCCAGCCGGTACCTCGGGCGCCGTCTCTTTCTCCCCTTTCCCGTCCTTCCCCTTCTTGTCTTTGTCCTTCTTCTCCTTCTTGTTCTTCTCCCCTTTTGCTTTCTTGTCAGGCAACGCCGCGTCGACAGGCGGAGGCACCAGAGGCCAGGAGAGGATCTAGAGGACGGCGGGCCCGGCTGCGGGCGGGCTGGGATCTTGCTGGAAAGGCGCTGAGGCCTCGCCAACAAGGCCGCAGGGCCCCCGGTGATGCCCTGACAGGAGCCCGGAAGATGGGACCCCCGGTCACCCACCTTCTCCTCCACGATGGTCACGGTGGTCCCCGCCAGCAGGAAGGCCTTGAGGGGCACCAGGTCCCTGAGCATGTGCTGCATCTTGTAGTTGCAGGGGATGACGTCAGTCCAGGGCTTGCGGACGGTGCTGAAGAGAACCGTCCTGGGGGGGGGGGGGCAGAGGAAGACAGGGGGCCGTCACCCGGGAGGCCGTGGCCGGGGACCAGGGCGAGGCCTGGGAGGAGCCGAGCGCACAGCGTGGCCAGACACGCAGGATTACTGCCTGATGCCATTTACAGAAAGGTCGAAGACAGGCTCACGAGTTCCTGGTGTTAGTTGAGTTGACAGTGACCCTTAAGGAGGGAGGGGCCTAAGGAGTCTTCGGAGGTTCTGGTATGTTGTTTCTTGTCAAGGGCAGTGGTTGCCTGGGGGCCCTCATCCTTTGGCTGTAAGGTGGATACTTCCGGATATGTGGGTTACATTTGAATCATTTATTTTTTCATAAAATAATAGAACAGGTCTGTGCGTCCACAGCCACATGCAGAATCAGCACATTTCGAACTGAGACACAGAATATGAGTTCATTTTTTGAGGAAAAAAAATTACAGGAGTATATATGCTCGAATATATGACTGTGTAAGAAGAAGCAGGGAACTACATGCACACAACTATTCAGAGTAATTCATTCTGGGGCTCCTGGCCGGCTCAGTCGGCAGAGGATGCAGCTCTTGATCTTGGGGGTCCTGAGTTCAAGCCCCACATTGGGCGTAGAGCCTACTTAAAGTAGATAAATAAATAAAAGAGTAATTCATTCTATGGGATGAGTTCGACGGATGCAGGAGGAGAAACTTTTATTTTCTAACTGACATATTTTTTAAGGCAGAATCATTTGTGGTTTTATTGTGTGGTTACTATTTCCAAAAACTCCACAACAACCACAGTGACCAGCACCACAAGGCTGGGGTCGACCAGGGAGCCTGGCTCGGGGCTGGCTGGGGGCTCCCCCTCTTCTGACAGCTGGGGTAGCCGCCTCCCTCGTTCTGTCACCCACGGGAACTCAGCACAGGGGCCCACAGCAGCCCCCTCAGAGTCTCCACAAGCCTGTTATCATTTACCCTCAGTGGAGGTTAAATAATTTTTTAAAAAAATAACAACTGGGGAGCAATAACAACAAACTCGCTTTCCCAGTTCCTTGAAGGCATCGGCAGCAAAATCTGTGTGGGGCGAAAGCTCAGTTCATTAGAACTCAGTCGCAAATTCTGTTTTCGGGGCTCTGGCCGTCAGAAGAATCAAGTGACAACACCGGCTGATAGCAGGAATTTGCAAAAAAATAAAATAAACCCAAACCAGGCTCCATGTTTTGAAATGTGTTACCAAATCAGTTAACGGAGCTTCCAGACTCAATGAGAAGTGACTCTAAATTCTTGTAAAATTCTTCATCATCGAAAAAGATTCTTTGTCAAATAAGACACAACATGTGATAGGCACGAGGCCCGTGAGGTGGGCCTTCGGAGGGTGAGAAAGCACCTGCTACTCAGGCTGCGAGATCCACACCACGTGTCAGACGCCAGAATAAACTCCAGAAGAATTAAAAAGTTAAACCGAGGAGCTTTTCAACTCTGAGGGCGGAGGGAAAGGGCTGTACCTCTCTCACCTCTGTGTTGACTAACGAAAGCCCAGCATTGAGAACACCTGAGCGTTCAGCGAAAGAAGGCGCAGCTGCGCTCTGGTGAGGGGGTGCTCCCGGGGCCTCGACCACTGAACGCAGCCGCTCCTGCGCGGCCACTGGCCCAGAGGGTCCCCCGGGCACCCAGGCCCTGCTCCCGCGCGGCCTCCGTCCTTACCCTGGGGAGGGGCAGAGCCGGGGATCTATTCGCGGCCGCAACTTGGCCAGCTCCTCGGAGGAGTCGGTCACCCTGGGCAAGGGCCCCGACCCGCCCGAGGCCACCGAACCCTCCAGCTCTCCCGACTGGGTGGACAGCCCGGACTCTAGCGAGTCTTCAGCCTCCTCGAAGACCTCTTCGGGAATGTCCTCGCCCAGCTGTTCCATGCTGGGCGACGGCTTGACGATCTGCGGGAGAGAACCAGACACCCGCGCCGGGCACTGTGCGCAGGGTTCTCCTCGCGCGCAGCGCGCATGTGCATGAACAGCTGCCCGTGCCGCGGTGAACTTGAAGCACCAACCAATACACGGGCTTGGGCAGGAAGTTTAAAAAAAAAAAAAAAATGCCCATCTTGGCCCTTCTGAGAGGTCTATGATAGGAGTAAGAACAGTGACAATTTCTGCAGGAGTTAGGGTGTCCCCCATCTCTCCTGGTTGGATGATACCCTCGGGTCTGCTTTCAATGAGAAGGGCGATGGAAGAGGAGGGGAGAAGCATGGGGTGGGGAGCAACCAGCTGGTTGTAAATGTTGCTCCCTTGTGAGGCCGTTTGCTCGGATTTCAAGGGCAAAGGAAGGAGGTGAACACAGGTGAGTAACTGGAGCTGCAAGAAAGGGGCTGAATAGAGCCGCTTCCCTTCTCAGAGTAGGGTGTGAACCAGAAAGCTCCGAGTAAAGGGGTTTTCTGGGCCCCAAGAAGCGGTTCTGCCTGCACAGGAGACCCTGGGGAGTACAGCGCATGCGCCCCAGTTCCCGGGAGCAGCCCGCGGGGCACAAACCTCAGCCAGCACGCCACCGTAATCACTTCCTTCTCCTTCTTGGTCTTCCACAAAATCGTAGGTCACGTAGTAGCTGTAAGTGATAAAAGGGCCTTGAGGCCCCGGCTCCGGGTCCAGGATAGAGGTGTCCAGAACGCCCTTGACATTTCCAATAGTCACCACGAGTTGGGCCTCACGGGCCAAGAGGTCTGCAAGGGGAGGGGGCAGAAGTGAGGGGGACAGCAGGGGAGGGCAGGCCCAGCTGGTTCCCTGCAGGCGGGGCTGAGCCTCGAAGTTCGCAGACTTAGGTTCAAATTCCAGTTCTGCAAAGTTCAAACACAGTGATTTGGAGTAAGTCCCTTTTTGGTAAGATACCGCCCTTAAGCCTGGTTTTCCGGATTTGTATAATGTGAATGATAGTAGCTGCCTTTGCAGGATGGTTACAGATGAAGAATCGATGTTACCTTAGCACAGCCTGGTATAGGGGAAGCTCTGATTACCAATGCTCCATCACCCCGACCTTGAGAAGGCTCTGATGCAGCTTGTGGCATGGGCCACCAGGGGGTGATCTCAAACCATCACAAAAGTAAAGAAATTGATTGAAAGAATGTTTCCTGTTGGCCTAGGATGGTCTCAGCCTCCTTACCACTTCTGCCCCCAAATCCCAATTACAGGGATCAAAAATCTGGGAGAGAACTGTGACCAAGAAGGTAAGCTACCCCTGACTAACTGGGGAGCTGCCGGGACAGGCCACCTAGTTCGATGGTGGGCCGGTGAGCAGAGGTTTGGGGGGTCAGACGCCAGCCCCTCCCCACTTGCCCATCCGCTCCCTCACCCCCACTGTGGCTGAGCCCCCGGAACTGATGCTTCTCACTGGGAGACACGGTGATGTCGTCCAGCACGCAGAGCCCGGACAGGCTGTCGATGGTGAAGCCTCGGTAGTAGGGCACCAGGGCCAGGGGGTTCCCTTGCAGCACGAGCAGCCGCAGGTGTGGGAGGGTGCTGAGGCTGGCGATCATGCCCTGCAGGTCCGTCAGGTCGTTGAAGCTCAGGTCCAGAGAGACGAGGTTGGGCCTCGAAGGGGAGCAGGGCCATCCAGGAGTCAGAGGCAGGGTGAGCGTGGGGATGGGGACAGGCAGCTGTGGTCACGCACCGGGCCCGCCCGGCTCAGCACCCCCCAGCACCCCATGTCCAGGACAGACAGCAGGCCCGTGCTGAGGGCGGGATAGGAGCCCCACTCCCGGCTCCCAAGTTAGCTGCCCTTGACTCAAGTTTGCCCCCCTGTTGAGAAGCCCTCTTGGTTGTACTGCCCCCCCATGACACTGCCATCCTCAGTGTGACATAGAGATGGCCCTGGTCACTTCCTGCCTGCAATGACTTCCATTTACACAGATCTCTTCTTCTCAGTTCAACTCTTGGTACCGCCCATAGATCCTGATACAGCATTGTGCATCTAGAAGGTTCTCAACAAAGACTGACAGTGGCAAGGAAGACAGAAGGAAGCCACGTGGGGAGGAGCAGTGGGTAGGGTAAGAGGGGCCAGTAAATATGGGGACCTGGGAAGAGGGTGCGCGAAACTTGAGGGGTCCAGAAGCTGGAGGACGCCTTCCAAAGGCCCCACTGGCTCATGGTCATAGGAAGCCCTGTGATTCATGTCTTGGGGGCACATGAGTGAAGAAGAACATGCCAGTGAGGACAAAGGAGGTGCCCTCCATCCCAGTCTGGAGGAAAGGGCCAGGAAGGGGGGCACGGGTGCTCTCCCCACTGCACAGAGCAAACCGGTACCAGCTCTGATACAGCTGCAAGAACGCAAGGGGCACGTCATCAGCACATCATACCCTCCGGTCCCCAGCGGACTGAACTTGGGCACCTCCCCTCCCCTCCTGCCCTGCTTTCCTGGCCCCAGGCAGCCCGTGATGTGAGGCTGGCTAGCCAGTCAACGGGAAACACACGAGAAACACATCTCATGAGGTCAGCCCATGGACCTTATCCAATGTCAGCCTTCAAGAAGACTGGGGGGGCGCCTGGGTGGCTCAGTCGTTAAGCGTCTGCCTCTGGCTCAGGTCATGATCCCGGGGTCCTGGGATCGAGCCCCGCATCGGGCCCCCTGCTCCGCGGGAAGCCTGCTTCTCCCTCTCCCACTCCCCCTGCTTTGTGTTCCCTCTCTCGCCGTGTCTCTGTCAAATAAATAAATAAATAAATAAATAAATAAATAAATAAATAAATAAAATCTTTAAAAAAAGAAGACTGGGAAGACATCAGCAAAACCGATCCATGAGCAAGGTAGCCTCCTTTGTGAATTTCAAGGCAGTGAAAGACAGAGGTTTCACTTACGTGTTTTGATGAAACTCACACCCGGCATGAAGCAGGTTACCTCGGTTTAGAGGAAGTATGTTTTCCAAATAAAAAATCAGAACACACGGTACTCTGGCCATGGCATGAGTCTACAGACTTTGGGTGGTTACAACTGGTGTGGGGGTCTCCTGGCAGCTAGTGGGTGGAGGCCAGGGATGCCGCATGAGACAGCCCCACAACCAACTGTTGCCCACTCCGATGTCAGCAACCCCACTCTAAAAGCTTCAGAGTGAAAGGTCTGACCCACTCCCGCTACCTCTTGTAATCCTTCCCTGGGCTGCAGTGGGAGGTTTTGCTTATTCAGTCAGAGACATGAATCCTAGGTCTGGAGCTGACAGCCAACCAGTAGTTACAGAAAAGAGCAAAGCTGAGTTCTTAAGGCACAACCCAAACCTAAGGCTTAAGCCCTTCTCTCTCTTTCCATCCCGGGCTCTCGAGTTACCAGTGATCCACGGTGACATACAGACTTTGCAAGGGGCCCAGAAGCTTGTTGTGACCCAACCCCAAGTGCTGGAGAAAAGGGGGCGGGTTAGTGCACAGACACTCCAGGCTGCTGATCTTGTTGCCGTAGAGCTCCAGCACCTGGGAGAAGCAGAAAGAACGGGGCCTGTGAGTCCATCTGTCCTCCCTCCCTCCTCCCTGAGAAGCAGCGGGTGGAACGGGGAAGTTCTCATACCTGGCTGCCCTGTGCCCACCTGGGCTCCCTTTAAAATATGGGGAAAAGGGGCGCCTGGGTGGCTCAGTCGGTTAAGTGTCTGCATTTGGCTCAGGTCGTGATCCCGGGGTCCCGGGATCGAGCCCCACGTTGTGCTCCTGGCTCAGCAGGAGCCTGCTTCTCCCTCTCCCCTCTCATGCTCTCTCTCACTCACTCTCTCAAAATAAATTAAAAAATAAAATAAAATATGGGGAACAAATATTTCTGCAGCAGGTGTTGGAAAGTTTCTTTTCCTTTTGTGAAGGACACATGGGAGGGGAGGGTGGAGTGGATGGGACAGGCATAGCATTTTGGCAACTGCCCAACCCACGGCAGCCTGTCTTTGGGAAAGCCAAAGGGCCCCTGGCTGGAGTAAGGACTCACTGGAGGATAACAGAGCATTCTTGGATTTCTGCTCCAAGGCCTCGCCTGGTTTCTTCCTAGGCCTGGCACTGAGCCATAGTTCTGAGTCCCTTCTGCCACGAAATCTATGAATTTCCACATTTAATTTAAAATTGAGACCATTTTGGTTGGTTCAGCAGAAAACTCATAATAAAGCCCAGGCTAGCTTTGCTTAAAATGATTTTTCTTTTATTGTGGCAAAATATTTATGATTTGCCATTTTCCCCACTTGTAAGTGTACAGTTCAGTGGCATTATGTGGGGTCCCATCATCATGCAGCCAACATCATCACTCCTATTTCTGAAAGTTTTCATCACCCCAGATGGACACTCTGTGCCCATCACAGTGGGTACCCGTTGTGTACCGCAATGACTCCCCATCGCCCTCACCCCTGCCCTAGTAACCTCTGCTCTGCTTTCGGTCCCTGTGGATTTGCCTCTCCTAGATATTTCGTGCAAGCGGAATCACCTAATATGTGGCCTTTTGGGTCTGGCCTCTTTCATTCAGCATCATGTTTTCAAGTTTCTTCCACGCTGTGGCATGAATCATTCCTTTTCTGACTGAGCAACATCCCACGGTATGGAGAGACCACGTTTTGTTTACCCACTCATCTGCTGACGGACATTTGGGGCCCACTTTCGGCTACAAGAATCTCAGTCCCTGCCTTCAATTCTCTGGGGCATATGCCTAGAGATGGCATTGCTGGGTCACACAGAAATTCTACTTTTTTGAGGACTCTGGCCTCCCTTTCCAAAGCCTGGGGCTGGTACCCTTGGCATACAGCCACACTGGCTAAAGCTTCGGGTGGCAGGACAAGGCAAGGGCAGGGTCTCTGGGCTGCGCCAGCACAAAGATGCTACAGGGAGCCTGGGCTCCTTTACCTTGAGGGTTGGGGGCAGGTTGATGGCATCGATCTCCTTGATCTGATTGGCACTCAGTACCAACTCTTCAAGTTTCTGAAATTTCAGGAGACCTTTATCCACCAGGCTCACCTGGAAGGGAAGCGGGCAGGAAGCTAGGCACTCTCGTGGGCAAGGCAGCTGTGGAGCAGAAATGGGGTCCACAGGAGGACAGCGACAGCCCCTTCCCCTCCTGAGGGAGTCACGTGGCACACGCCAAACCCCGTCCTCTCCCTCACCGACCTCCTGAACGGCTCTCCTGCACATCCCACCAGGATCCCTGAGCCTCGACCCCAGAGGGGATCTCTCACCTCTTTGCCCTCACCCTGCCCCCCGGAGGTGTTGTCCACCTTCCAGCTCAGTGTCCTGTGTCCCCTGTTGGACTGTGAGCTCCCAAGGGCAGGGATGCCATGTTCTTTGCTGTCTACCCCTGGGCCACAGTGGACCCCAAGGCTGTAAGGAATTGCTAGCTGATGCCCAGCAGGGTCAGACCCAAAGTTCAGGGGTCCATCTGTGAATCTTCAGGTGTCTGTGGCCTCAAAGACATTAGGGCCCTTCCTGGTGACTGTGCCAGTTTGCCCAGGTTTGAGGGGTTCCTAGGACACGAAACTTTCAGAGCGGACACCGGGAAGGTCCCAGGACATGGGTAGGAGTGGCTCTCACTCCTCATGCCTGGTACTGTGTAAGTTCACAGTTTCTCTGGGGAAGGAGAAGGAAAGGTAGGAAGGCTGAGGTTGCAGTTTGGGGCTCTGTTATTTGGTAGCAGCGAAGAAGGCTTTTTCATAACAGAAACTAATACGGTACCATGCCAACCCTCCCTAACCCCGGGTCCCCACAGTTTAAGTAAAACCAATACAGACACTTTAAACGTCTCTTCTAGGACCCAGGAGGGCCGACTGCAGGGTGCACCAGAAGTCAGCTATACAAGACACACCTGGATGACCGCCCCCCCCCCCCCCCCCCCCCTGGGGCGAAGAAAGAAGACACCAACAAATGAGCAGCTGGCCCTGCTTGGTGGGGGGCTGGTGAAATCAGTTCGGGGGGGGGGTGCACAGCCACCTTCCCATCCTTCCTCCCACTTAACACTGAGGACCCACCACTAAGGACTGTACAGTTCTGTAAGGCCACTGGCCTCCCCAGCAGCAACTCCTGCTCTTACCTGCTTGTCCACCACCCGTAGGGACCTGAAGTAGGAGTAGAAGAAGGTGTCTTTGAGCATCAGGGGATTCTGGATGGCCAGTTCTCTCAGAAAATGGTCCTCTGCACTGGAGCCCTCCAGCAGAGCCCAGGGTGAGTGGGGGCTGCGGACCAGGCCCAGCAGTGCATCCACGGTCTCCTCCCCAGGGTTCACGGCCTCCTCTCTGGGGACCAGCTCCTTCCATGTTCTCCAAGTTCGAGGAAGAAAGCGTGACTTATTCTGCAGTGGTAGAGGTGGAGAATTTCGCTACTCAGTCACTCAGCCCCTCGCAAGGATTCGAGACTCCCCAAATAGAACAGATCGTAAGATAGGACAATCAGGGACAAAGAGTTTAGACGTTTAGACGGTGAGTAATCAATAATTTTGACTGATTATTAGCCACGGATAGAACTACAGACCGAGAACTACATTCCTGCCTTTAAGAGTTCACTCAAGCTGGGAACCTTGAAGAAGCAGGGGAAAGCAACCAAACATTTCAGAAGGATTTATGTGCTAGAAGCTAGGAGGTGCGAAAGGCCCTCTGGGGGACGTATTAACCAAGGAAAGGTTTTTGAGGACGAAGTGGCAAGGCTGGAAAGGTGAATTCAGAATTGAGATGCCAGTGGATGATGAAACGATGAGTCCCAGAGTTGACTTTCTCCCAGCCCTTCCTCCAGGACACTCCTGAGAGACATCGGTGAAACCCCAAAGCTCTGCATGGATGCCAGGCACACACAGGAGGTGTGCAACAAAGTTTGTTGATGAAACAAACAAACGAATTAGTTCCTTGATTGGTGTCTCTGTGTTCTCCTCTATGAAGATGGGAACACTGACCTCCCCTTAGCCCCTTACCAGTGTGGGGGGCGCCAGCTTTTCAGCAAGTGGGAGGGAAACATTCCAGACCCCCAAGATACTCCTGTGCACATCTGAGGGGCGGCAGGTTGTCATTGTCATGCTCCTCATCCCCAGCAGGAGCACCTAGCTGATTGGGGGTGGGGGGAGACGCACCTGCTCTAGCCCTCCTGAGCCACCACCTGCTCCCCAGGGAGAAGCCTTGGAAGGGAAGTGTTTCTGGCCTTAGAGACAAGGAGACAGGGAGGGAGGAAGCCCCTTCTCCCAGACCCACCAGCCTCTGCAGGCCTCAGAACAGGGCCTGCTCAGGACCGGGCGGCCCTGGGCCTGGGGGCTCTCGCTATGTGAGATCTGGGGCATCTGAAGGTCAGGAAGCTCTTTGCCCAGGCAAAGGCTCTTCACCCCAAAAGGGGCCTGGTGTCTTTAACAGATTGAGAAGCCCTACCCCAGGTCAGCCTGATGTGCTCAGGATGGGGGTCCTGCCCTCCTCTCTGGGTCAGGCACACAGACGGGGTGGGGGAGGGGCGCTGCGGGGGAGCCATCCCGTCGGCCCCAGCAGTGTCCCAGCCCCCACCCCAGGTCAGCCCGCTCCCTAAATGTCCAGGTCCAACCCCCATCCCCCGGCTTCTCCAGATCAGCCACATCCTGCGGCTGGCGGCCCCTCGGCCCCGCCCCCCCCCCCCCGCCCCTGGTCAGTCCCGTCCGTCCCCCAGATCCCCGAGTCCCTCGTCGGGCCGCCCCCCGCCCGCCGGCGCCCGCACCCAGCTGCCGGTGCCGCACGGGAACTCGCGCAGACACAAGTGTCTCAGGTGCTCCCGGACCGCGGCGCTCAGGGTCGCGCCGGGCTTCTCCATGGCCGCGCGACACCCTGCCTAGCCGGTTGCTAGGCAACCGCCGGGACACACGCGCGTGCGCGCCAGGGCCGGGCGCGTGCTCTTCCCGGCGGGGGCGCGCGGCACGCAGGCGCTCCCCGAGCCCACGACTAGCCGGTGTCTGCGGACTTTTCCGACCGGGAGTCCGAGACCTTGACTCAGGCGGGGACGACCTGGGTTTTCTCTTCTGACCGATCTGTGCTCGCAGCTGTAAAAAAGCCGGGAAGGGGAGGGGGGGAGCTGTAACGGCTGTAACTCCTAGTAGGTGCCGAGCGCTTCTCACATGAAAAAAGTGCCAATTATCATGCCCATTTGACGGATCTAGAAAGGAGAAATGAGCCCAAGGTCAATCTCAGGATTCTAACCAGTGGATTCCAATGTGGATCTCTTTAACCCCTGAGTCACGGGCTTTAATCACTGCAAATATAATTTGCAGTGATTTTAGCACCGAGAGCCCATTTAGACTGAAGCAATCGCATTCATCTCTCCATTCTCAGGGCATCTAGCATCTGGTCTACTGCTGGCTAAACGGTAAGGGCTCCTGGGCACAGGTTTGAGAAATAAATGGGATAAAATGATTCTGGTTCCTATAATTTGGAAACGCAACATCTTTATTGAGACACAATTTACAAACCCCAAAATTCACCCGTTTAAAATGTGCAATTCTGTGATTTTTAGTATATTCACAATGCAACTATATTCATAGTGCAACTATCACTGTTATCTGATTTTCAACTTTTTCCTCACCCCAAAGGAAACCCCATATACACTAGGCAGTCAATCCCCATCCCCCCATTGGGCCATCCCCTAGCAACCACTAATAGGTTTTCTGTCTCTATGGATTTGCTTCTTCTAAGTATTTCATATTAAATGGAATCATACGATATTTGTTCTTTTGTGTCTGGCTTTTTTCACTTAGCATAATGTTTTCAAGGTTCATCCATGTTGTAGCATGTATCAGTACCTCATTCCTTTTTTTTTATTTATTATTAAAGATTTTATTTATTTATTTGACAGAGAGAGACACAGTGAAAGAGGGAACACAAGCAGGGGGAGTGGGAGAGGGAGAAGCAGGCCTCCCGCTGAGCAGGGAGCCCGATGTGGGGCTCGATCCCAGGACGCTGGGATCATGACCTGACCCGAAGGCAGACACCTAACGACTGAGCCACCCAGGCGCCCCAACTCATTCCTTTCTATGGCTGAGTAATATTGCATAGTATGGATAGACCACATTTTGTTATCCATTCACCTGCTAGGGGACATTTGGCCTTTTTCACTTTTTGGCTCTTATGAATAACGCTGCCTTCAACATTCCTGTACATATCTTTGTGTCAACATATGTTTTCATTTCTCTTGAGTAGATACCTAGGAATGAACTGGGTCACATGGTCACTCTATGTTTAACACTTCGAGGAACTGCCAAACCATTTAACACAGAAGCTGCGCCATGTTGCATTCCCATCAGTAACATATGAAGATTCCAACTTTTTAAATCTTCACCAACACCTATTATTTTACTGTTTTTTTTTTTTTAATGATAGCCATCTTAGTTGGTGTGATGTATCTCATTGTGGTTTCTATTTGCATTTCCCTAATGCCTGACTCATAACAATATTGAGCACTTTTCATGTGCTTTTTGGCCATTTGTATATCTTTGGAGAAATGTCTATTCAAATCTTTTGGTCATTTAAAAATTTTTTTTTGGTCTTTTAATTGTTGAGTTTTAAAAGTTTTTTTTGCATATATATCCTGGATATCAGCCCCCTGTTTTACATATAATTTCCAAATATTTTCTCCCATTCTGTGGTTGTCTTTTCAATTTCTTGATAGTGTCCTTTTACCCACAAAAGTTTTTAATTTCAATGAAGTGTAATTTATCTATTTTTTCTTATGTTGCTTGTGCTTTTGGTGTCATTTTAAAGAAACAATTGCCTAATCCTAATAAAATTGAGCTTTAGTGTTCTTTATATATCTTGTCATATTGCGATTTGCAAATATATTTCTCCCAGTCTACGCTTGTCTTTTCATCCTCTAAACAGTGTCTTTAGAAGACCAAACATTTTTAACTTTGAGGAAGTCCAATTTATTGATGTGATCCTTCTGAAAACACCTACTGTGGTAGACATCTATCATCCTTTTTGACTGCCCTATGTCAGAACACCTTTACTATTATTAGAAAAATTCTCCAAAACTGGGTTATAAGACAAAAAAAAAAAAAGAGTCACATGTCCTTTTAAGGAATAAGATAAATATCTATGAGTGATATAAACAAATCAAAGAGACGAATCAGGAATGACTCCTGGGAATTTGATGAAACAACTGGGTGGTTGATATGCAGTGAGGGAAAGGAAGTCTGGAGAGGGGAAATCAAGAGTCCTGTCTGGAATGAGTTAAGTTCAAGATGCCCATTGGCATCTATTCCATGTCAAGTTAACAGTTGGACGAGGAGTCAAGAGCCCAGGAACGAGGTCCGCCCTGGGCGGTCTGCAGAACCTAATGCACAACAGAAGAAACAGCTGGGGACCCCCTTCCACCACAAGTGCCCCTCCAACCACTGCTGTCTCTTTCCTCTTCTTATTCAGGCTTCTTGACAGAGGGGTCTGCGTGCACTTTTACCCCACTTCCCAAACCGCCACAGTATAGCTTCCACACCCAAATACGTATTCAAACTCCTCTAGCAAAGTTCCCAGTGACCTCACGTTGCCAAACTTAGTACCTCTCTTCAGCCTTTATCTTATTTGACCTCTCCATGGCTTGTGATGGTGCTAGTCACATCCGCCTTCTTGAAAACCACTTTTCATCTTGTTCCATGACAGGTTTTTCTAGTGCATCTCTCTCCCTCTCAAGAATGCCTTCTCAGCATTTTAGACTGTCATCTTCTTCTCCCTGCTCTGTGAATAGAGGTGTACCCCTGGCCTCCACACTTACCTCACATGTCTCTCATTGGTTACCTTTTGTAGGCTTACAGTTTTCTCAACCACAATGTACAGATGGTACCCAAAGATGCCACATATCTCTAGTTCCTTCCTTCAAGCTGCAAATCCAAATGCCTAATGGCTCACTGTACATCTTCACCTGAGAGTTCCATGACACTTCTAACTCACCATGTCAAAATTGAATTCTTCATTCACCTGAGCCCTGTGGTCCTCTCTGTTTGTAGCATCCCCATCAGTCCAGTCGCCCAAACCACAAACCCAGAAGCGGTTCTCACCTCCTCCCTCTCCACCATCCCCATAACCAATCAACTACCATCTCCTGTGAATTTTGCCTCCTTCAGATTTCTCCAATCCATTCACATCCATTCATCTCCACAGTCATTATTACCCTGGTTCAGATCCTTGGACTTTAGACATGTCAAGGGTGAGGCATTCAGGTGGACATGTCCATTAGGCGGTTGGACATTTAGATCGGGAGCTTGGAAGAGGGAGACATTAAAGTGTGAGGACCACGGATCAAGGGTGGGGCCCTTGGAGACACGCCCATTAAAGGACCAGGCAGGAAGATGATTTGGCCCGAGAAGGCACTGTCAGAGGGCCAAAATGTGTCAGGATAATATTGTCACAGAATAAGAGGAAAAAGAGGTATTCAAGAAGGAGGAAGTGTTTGGCATTACTGTGTGTCATGGAGGGGTCAAAATGAAGGCTGAGACGAACCCAGTAAGGCTGGCAACATGAGGCCACTGGAGACTAACTGGTTCTCAGCTGCTGCCATAACAAATACCATAAACTCAGCAGTTTGAACCTACAAAGTTACCGTCCCACAGTTTCTGTATGTCAGAAGTCCAGCGTGGAGTAACTGGATTCTCTGCTCAGGGTGTCACCAGACTAAAGTCAGAGTAGTAGCTGGGGCTGTGGTTCTCAACTGGGGCACAGGGTCCTCCTCCAACTCACTGGTTCTTGGCCAAATTCATTTTCTTCTCATCTTTCCACCTGGCGCCTCCCTCTGCAAGCCAGCAATGTCAGCTGAGTCTTTCTCATGCTTCGAGTCTCTCTTCTTTCCTCTTTGTTTCTAAGGGTTTGTGTAACTACATTGGACCCACCTGGCAAACAACCTGTCTTCAGGTCAGCTGATTAATAAACTTAATTACATCTGCAAAGTCCCTGTAATGTAATAAAATTATGGGAGTAAACATCAGAGGGTGAAAGTCATGTGGGCAAAATTCTGCCTACCGTGGACTTTGCTAGAGGATTTTGATGAAATTGTTAGGGTAAAACCATATTGTGGTGGTTTGGGAAGTAAGGTAAAAGTGTGTGTAGACCATTCTGTCCAAAGGCTTGGATAAGAAGAGGAAAGAGACAGCAGGTGCTGGAGGGGGACCTGGGTTTAAGGGTAAAAGGGGGTTTCCAACTCTCTCTTCCATTGTGCATCTTGGGTTCTGTGGATGGCTCCAGCCTGACCTTGTGCCTGTGCTCTTGACTCCTATCCAATGGCTAACTTGTCATCAAAGAGATGCCCAATGGGCATCTTGAACTTAACTCACAGGCATCTTGAACTTAACTCATTCCAGACAGGATTCTCAATTTCCCCTCTCTAGACTTCTTTTCCTTCTCTGCATATCAACTATCCAGTTGCTTCATCAAAATCCTAGGAGTCATCCCTGATTCCTCTTCCATCCACATAAGTCCGTCAGCCGGTTCTGTGGACTCCATCCCCATCCACTCTACCCTGGTCCAATCCACCATCATCTCTACCTGACAGCCACATAATCTCCCAACTGGTCCTCTGCTTCCATCTTGGATTCACACAATCCACTCTCCATTTAGCAGCCTGTCTCCTTCTCGTTTCTTAAAGTATACCAGATTCTATATTCCCCTCCCTACAGCCATCCGGCAGTGCCTTGTCATACTTGGGATAAAACCCAAGTTCTTTATCATGGCCTCAGAAGGTCCTCTGTGACCTGGCCTCTGCCCACCTCCCTACCACCCTCCCCTTCTCTAACTTTGCTGCAGCTGCCATTCTTGGCCACACCAAGCTCACTTTTGCACTAGTGTCCCCTACGCTTGGAGCACCCTTTCCCCAGATCTTCCCACAGCAGACACCTCCCCAGAGAAACTACTCTTCATCACCTGACTTAAAGTATCTCACCCACCACTCTCTATCCCATCACGTTGTTTTATTTTCATAGTTCTTATCATTACCTTACCCTTTCTTGTTTATTCATGTTTCTTACTGCCTGCCCATTGCCTGCTAGAACACCAGCTTTATCAGGGCCGGGACCTTGTTTAACTTCTTTGCCACCAATCCTAAGACCCTAGAAGAGTTCCTGGTCAACGTTGGCACTCAAAATAGGAATAAGTGCCTTCAACAAATCACTCTGGAGCACAGATTCTGGTTCTAGGCCTTGCTGTTGCCAGGCACACTTGAGAATCCAGTGATGTTCAAGGCCAAACAGAGTGGAGACGAGTGAGCCTTTGACTCACCACATTCACAGTGGTTATCGGGGCCATCCCCGCATACTGGCATGAGCATGCCTCAGAAATCTACAAAGGTAATACATTTTGAAAACCTCATGCCCACCTGACACCTACACACACTCGCTGTGACCCTCCCCAGAAATTCCCTATGGGGCACTGGCCCTTAACTCCTGTAAATCACCTGTTCCTGGGGAGTTATGCCTGTCAAATCTGGGCTTTGAACTTTCTTCTAGTCAAATCAATAAGCTTTTTTCCCAGAAGAAATGGCAAAGATGTGTGTGCCTTCCTGTGTGTGTCTGTACTGAGTCAGGCATCTGCCCAACGTGAGGGTAACCTCAGCGCTTCCTTCCAGCCCTGATTTCACCCAAACCTGGGCCACAGAATTTTGAGTGTTTTCTGGAGAAAAGCTGAGCAATGATTTTGCCATGGGCGGGGGACATTGATCATTCTTTTCCCCCACATCTGGCCCTTTATATATCTCCCGAGGACCATGGCGAGCACATCTGACTCCAGGAGCTGTTGTTGAAGCAGTCTTCGTGCACTCACCATGCTCTCCCACGCAGGTACTACCGGGTCCCGCCGCCCCATTTGTGAGCATGGTCCTGTCTCCTCAGAAAGAGGGGAAGACTCCAGAGGGGTTCAGCCAGCGGTGGTGGCAGCTGGGGTGGGCAGGGGGTGTCTGATCATGTGTCTCACAGCATCGTTTTCTTTCACCAGGACCCGCCAGGTTTGCCCTGTTCCTGCTCTGCTTCATGGGAACTTCACTGACCTCCCAGACGGCACCCATCCATCAGCTACACCCAAGTGATGTGCGGAAAATCATCTTGGAATTACAGCCTTTATCGAAGGGACTTTTGGAAGACTACGTAAGTGCACTACAGATTTCTTTTCTGAGTCATTTCTTTAAAATGCCTTCTGTTGCCCCCAGAAGAAGCCTCCTCTTTTCAGACCTGAAGCTAGGGCTGTGGATACCCCACAAAGGGACGGGAACAATGAGACAGGCTACGATGGACTTTTTATGAGGGTCAGAGGCAGAGATTAGCCCAGACAGCCTAAAATTCAACAACTTCTCATGTACTATAGGATTTGCTTTAGTAGGTCTGTTGATCCCTAACATATTTGGTTCATAGTAATATGATGTGGATTTTCCTGCCTGAAGCACATCCCTAGAGACGGGCCATCTTGCCTGACCATTTAGGAGCCTGCTAGGGAGCAGCAAATGTCAACCTAAGCTGTAAATGAGGTCTCAGTGAGCTCAGGACGTTAAAATCCTCACCTGGGTCACAGAGAGTCTTTCTTACCGCAAAGAAGGGCAGTTAACAAATTGGGTGTCTGTTTGTATACTACTTCATTGTTTAATTAGGACCCAGACTGCTTCTACCAGAGGCTCTTCTGAGCCCAACCCCATTGGGAGGAAAGTTTGAGGCTGAATAAATGTGAATACTCTCATTTTCTCAGAGTTGTGATCAAGATAGAACCTCGTAGGCACCTTTGATTAAACAAACAAATAAAAACCCAAATCTGGAAACTCATGAAATTGGCCTTGCCCTTCCCTTCCACCCTGACATTTAAACCCTCGCCTTGGTTTTTATAGATGCTTAGTTACCGGCCAAGGTGACTAGGCAGTTCAGGCTGGTGAGGTGTTCTTAGCACTTCAGGTGAACCCAAAAGCTCTTAGTCCTTAAGAAGAGGGACAGGAGAGGCCCTGGTCTGGAGTCCATGGTAATTTTGGAAACACTCTCCGTGGCATCTTGGAGGCCTTGCCAGACATGCATACATGAGCTGGGGATACATTGGCTTTAACACAGAGTCACAAAGAATAAGAAGCAGGATGGAAACCCAGATGCTCTCCTATTCCCCAGCTCTCTGAGGCCCTGAGCAGCTAAGAGAAGATCCCAGGGGGCTGTGAAGGCCTTGGGCAGATAGATGGGCAGTGGAGGCAGGATGGAGCAGTGGTTATTGGCATAGTCTTTGGGACTGCTGCTAACATGGGTTAGAATTCTGGGCCTGCCACTTGATCTTGGGCCAGCTTCGCAAACCAATGGAGCTTTAGTTTCTTCTGGGAAGGGAAATAGTGATGATCACTGCCTCACAGGGTCGTGGCACCTATTACAAGAGATGGCAGGGGGAAGCGCCCTGCCCCCCACCCATCACAAAGGGAGCATACAGATGTTAGCGTTGGGGCTTCTAGGTGTTATCGCAAACCTAATGCTCACCCATTTCTCTTCCTCATTCCACAGCTGAAGAAAGAGATGGGGGTGCCGGAATCCAACCATTTCTTGCTGCCGTGTCTCACCTCTGACTCCCAACCACCACGCATCAACAGCTCAGCCATCCTGCCTTATTTCAGGGCGATCAGGCCATTATCAGATAAGAACACTATCAATAAAATCATAGAACAGCTCGACAAACTCAAATTTCAGCACGAGCCAGAAACAGAAGTTTCTGTGCCTGCAGATACCTTTGAAAGTAAAAGCTTCATCTTGGCGATTTTACAACAGTTCTCGGCGTGCCTGGACCATGTGTTTAAATCACTGAACCCAGGACCCCAGCAGGTCATGCAAGGCCATCTCATTGAACCTATTCCTTCTGGAACAGCAGACGTATGAAACCTTGAGACACCATGACTGACAGCCAAAGTAAATTATTCCAATGAATAATCTCAACGAATCCCCAGATGGGCTAGTCTTGGGAGAACTGAGGTGTAAATGTGTGAATTCACTTGAAAAGATCTCAGGTTATGTCACTGTTAACACTCTTGGTATTTATAGAATGTTTTTCCTCTGCAGACTTAGATCTTATCCTTGTTATGCCTCTGTGAACACAGGACGAGGCGCCGATGTTAATTTATTGGTTTTATTTTATTGAGAGCTCTTAATGCTCCTTTAAGCAGCCTTCGGGAATTATTTAATAAATTATATTGAACTTTTCTCATAATCTGTTTTGGATTTTGTGAGGGGGTTAAAATTGGTGGCTGGAAATCCAGGCTGGGTGGTATTGGGGCTGAGGGAGCATGGGACACACTGTGGAAGTGGAGACCTTTTCTCTCACTGTACTTCTCCCCATCGGAGAGGCTCAGTAGCAAATAATAGTAATTCCAGCAGTGACAACTATTTATTGAGCATTTTCTTTATGCCAGGCCACATAAGGACCGTTACTGTCCTCTTTTTAGAGGTGGGGAAACTGAGGCAAGGAGTCATTTAGCCACTTGCCCAAGGCTACACAGCTATTCAGGGGTGGGACCCAGACTCAAGCCTGCTCTTCACCACTCTGCCCGACCTTTGTCCCTCTCTGGGCAGTGACTGGGTCTTAGAAGCACGTAATGGCATGCCTGGTACCGAACAATCCCTCAAGTGTCTTCTGCATGGTTCCCCGCTGGATTTCCAGTGCCTCCGCTCCTGCAAAGTCCTGTTCCATCATTGCATCCATGACTTCTTCAGATCCAGGGCCAAAGATTTTACCATTTGAATAAATGTTGAGTCCAAAGTTGTGAATGGTTCTTTGAGATCCTCTGGACTAATGGTCCTCAAAGTGTGGTCTCTGGACCAGGGGCATTGGCATCATCTGGCAACGTGTTGCAAGTGCACAGCCATGGGCCCCCCACCTCACACCTACTAAATCAGACACTTTGGAGGTGCAGCCAGTGATCTGGGTTTTAACTAAACCTCCAGGTGATTGGTATGCACACTCAAGCCAGAGAACCACTGATCCTGAGCTGACAAACACCTTCATCTTCATCTTATCTGGGGGAAGCTGATGCCCAAAGGACAGTATGATTTTCCTAAGTTCTCATATCAGGCGGGCGATGAGGTTAGGACTCTGAGACATGCAACTCAGCTATGGAATTCTCATTCTTAGTCTTGTGGGGTTTTCTCCTTCAGTCCCACACAGGGCTCCTAAGCTTCCACATATTGTAGCCTTCAATGATAGTGTTTTGATCAGTCTTTCCAAAAACACTCACTGTGGTGGTCATCTATCATTTTTTTGACTGTCCTATATCAGAACACATTTACTATTATTAGAAAAATTACCCCAAAACTGGGAAATAGGGCAAAAAGATGACCATGTGTCCTTCTAAAGAGTAAAACAAATATCCACTAGTCTGTAGTGATATAAATAAATAAATGGAGGAAAAAGGACAAATGCTCCTTAGAGAATTCCAATTAATAAACATAGAAGGAATGAGGGAAATAGAAAATCACCTTTAGGGGCACCTGGGTGGCTCAGTCGTTAAGCGTCTGCCTTCGGCTCAGGTCATGATCCCAGGGTCCTGGGATCGAGCCCCACATCGGGCTCCCTGCTCCGTGGGAGGCCTGCTTCTCCCTCTCCCACTCCCCCTGCTTGTGTTCCCTCTCTTGCTGTGTCTCTTTCTGTCAAATAAATAAAATCTTAAAAAAAAAAGAAAAAGAAAAAGAAAATCACCTTTAGAACACCTCAGTCCTGTGACGCCTGGCCGGCTCGGTCAGTAGGGTATGCAACTTGGTGTTGGGGTTGTAAGTTTGAGCCCCACGCTGGGTGTAAAGATTACTTAAAAATAAAATCTGAAAGAAGGAAGGAGGGAAGGAAAAGAAAAAAAGGAAAGAAAAAAGAAAGAAAAGAAAGAAAGAAAGAAAGAAGAAAGAAAGAAAGAGAAAAAGAAAGAAAGAAGAAAGAAAGAAAGAAAAAGAAAAAGAAAGAAAGAAGAAAGAAAGAAAGAGAAAGAAAGAACAACACCTCAGTCCTAATTGCTGCAGGCAAGATCCACAGATGAAGGCTAAAATTAATGGGTTGAGGGGCGCCTGCGTGGCTCACTTGTTAAGTGTCTGCCTTCAGTCAGGTCATGATCCCAGGGTCCTGGGATCGAGCCCCATGTCGGGCTCCCTGCTCAGCATGGGGACTACTTCTCCCTCTTCCCCTGCCTGCTGCTCCCCCGATTGTGCTCTCTATCAAATAAATAAATACAATCTTTAAAAATAAAAAAATAAAATTAACAGGTGAACTGAGAAGAAACAGGAAATTTGCATAGCATCAAAGTATCTTCCCAAAAATATTTGCTAGTCATTTGGCAGTTTTAACTTTCATCTACAAATTCTTTGATATTCTCCCTCCAAGAGGTGGAGGGGAACTCCCCTCCCCATGACAGCAGACTGGATCTGTGACTTGCTTCCCAAACACCAAGCACAGGAGGACAAGACAGCCCCTGACGGGCCCCGATGGGAAGGGCAGCTCCTTGCCTCTGTGGGGCTCTTCCCCCAAATCCACGCCCGGCCCCTTCAGGAGTAAGCACCAGAAAAACCCAAATTGAGGGATATCTACAAAATCCATGACCACAACTCTTCAAAAGTGTCAGGGTCAGGAAAATCAAGGGAGGAAAGAGAAACTGTCACCTGGGGACCAGGGAGACACAGGGGTCGAGTGTAATCCTAAAGGGGATCCTAATAAAGGACATTAGTGAAAAAAAATGGGTGAAAATCCAAATTAAGCCTGTACTTGTGTTAATTTCTTAGTTTTGATAAATGTACCACAGTTATGTAAGATGTTCCCACTTAGGAGAAGCTGGGAGAAGGGTATATGAGAACTCTGTATTATCTGTAACTTTTCTGTATAACTAAATTTATTCTAAAATAAAACATTTAAAAAAAAAATCCAGTTCCTCAGTCCCACTAGCCACATTTTAAGGGCTCAAGAGCCACATGTGGTTATTGGTTCCTATCCTGGGCAACACAGATATAGAACATCTCCATCGTCACAGAAAGTTCTATTGGACATGCAGGGGATGGGACTTTGGCATGATTGCTTAGGAATGAGGTCCCAGAGTCTATGAATTTGTAGGAATTGTAGAAAATCTGTAGAATTTGTAGAAATTTGTAGAAAACTGATAAGGTACAAATCATTCCTAGCTAGTAGAGACTCAACCCCAGCGGTGATGGTTTTATTGACTGTGAGGCCAGTTGAGCATCTATCTTATCTTTTTGTTCCAGCGCTGATTTCCCTCACTAATGATGGAGAGACAGACGAGAGAGAAACACGACCTTCTCGTATTGTCCTTTGAACCAGTTGCGCTGTGCTGATTCCTCCACTGATGAGGTAAATAAAGCTTTGGCACCGAAGTTACCTGGATTTCAGCTAACAAAAACCCACAGGTAATTAGAATTTCTTTTGGTGATAATCTGCCAAAACCTAGAAAGAGGCAAAAAGACAAGCAGATCTTGGCATTTTGTCATAAATTTAATATCTCCTCCACCAAATCATTCCCTCAGTATGTCTTGTCAAAACACTCCAAAATAATGACTTAAAAAAAATATCCTGGAGCACCTGGGTGGCTCAGTTGGTTAAGTGTCTGCCTTTGGCTCAGGTCATGATCTTGGTGTCCTGGGATGGAGTCCTGCATCGGGCTCCCTGCTCAGTGGGGAGTCTGCTTCTCCCTCTGCCCCTCCTCCATCTCATGTTCTCTCTCTTGCTTCCCCTCTCTCAAATAAATAAATAAAATCTTAAAAAAAAAAAAACACTTTCTAAAAAAAAAAAAATCCTGGGGCACCTGGTGGCTCAGTTGGTTGGGTGCCTGGTGGCTCAGTCGGTTGGGCATCTGCCTTTGGCTCAGGTCATGATCTTGGGGTCCTGGGATTGAGCCCTGCATTGGGCTCCCTGCTCAGCGGGGAGTCTGCTTCTCCCTCTCCCTCTGCACAATCCCCCCTGCTTGTGCTCTCTCTCTCTCAAATAAATACATAAAATCTTTATTTTGTTATTTTTTTAAAAGATTTTATGTATTTATTTGACAGAGAGAGACAGCGAGAGAGGGAACACAAGCAGGGGGAGTGGGAGAGGGAGAAGCAGGCTTCCCGCGGAGCAGGGAGCCCGACGCGGGGCTCGATCCCAGGACCCTGGGATCATGAGCTGAGCCGAAGGCAGACACTTAACGACTGAGCCACCCAGGCGCCCCCTATAAATAAAATCTTTAAAAAAAAAAATCCAGTGCTACTGACTCACAGAGGAAAGGAAAACAAATAATCAAGGGTCACAGAGAAACCAAACCTAATATGATATGATTAACATGACTTCCTTATTTCAAGGGGAACCCTCTGAGGCTGAGCAAAAGCTTAAACTTGCCCAATTTATAAAGGAAGAGCAGGCAATATAAAGCTTTAAGAAAAGCACTTTTGAGCAACGTCATCTTCGTCTACGGCCATACCACCCTGAACGCGCCCGATCTCGTCTGAGCAACGTCATCTTCTTGTTCTGGAGAATTATGAGGTGAGAGGAAAAACAAAAAGGAAATAGAAGGGGCGATCAGATAACGAGAGAGGAGGAGAGAGAGAGAAGACAACGAAGTGGTACAATAGGAAATCAAATCACTGCTAGATGTGAAACTAGGCTGAACCTCACTAGTAACCAAGAAAGGCAAATAAACAGGAGGTCAGATCAGCAGAGGTTTTACACATGATAAGGCTTGCCAGCGAGGCGGCAAGGAGAAAGGCCTACTCAGCCCCTTTCAGAAGTAGGTAGGTATCGGTCTCATAAGAGGATTCCATCCCACCCCACTGTAATTCCCTACAGAGCTGATCACAGACCAGGGCCGGACACACGTGAGCACGCGCGCGCGCGTACACACACACACACGCACACACACAGA